TACCTCCACCACTCAATAAAATCCCACATTCGCCATCCTTCAAGTCCATGTGTGACCTGACTTTCCTGGACATCAGGCAAGAGCTTGAGATACAGAAAGCTGTTACACTGGCCCTCTGGCCTTGCGAAAAGGCTGAGGGTCCACTGAGGTGTTTAACACTTATGCTGCCTGTGGATGGCAAAGCTAACAGAACATACTGGAACACACACCCACTTGGGCTTCAGGAGTTGCAGGCATCCAGTCCTACACGATACTGTGGGGCCGGACCCCAAAAGTGCTTGCCCCAGCTCCTGTACTTGCCCATCTGTGTACTCCCTTTCCTGTAAGGGGTTTGAGAGCACATGGCAGGCAAACAGACAAGCCACATCTTTGTCACAAGTCCTGCAAAGGGGGTCAAGGAACTCTCCCGTTTCACTACTCTGTTGAATCTACTATTACACAGTTCTGAGAATCCCTGCTTTACAGAGTAAGACTTCATCAGGATTTTAACTAATGGAAATGGGACTATGGGGATAGTCAGGGAAAAGCATACAAACAAAGGAGTAGAGGAAAGAGAATGCAGGATTTAGGAAGAGCAGAATAAGGATTTTAGTAGGCTTGAGTACCCATGCAAAGTATAAGAGGGAACAGAGGAAAATAAAGTTTCATTAGTGAGAGCAATAACATGGAAACTGATTGACATTCCAAAGAATCTGAATCTTATTCTTAAAATATGCAAAGTACAGCTGTTTATACATGCCATTGTTAATTATATATTAGTTCTTCTCATTTCTAAATGACCCAGATAACTATGTCTAGATAAAAGAGCAATTACTCACAACTTCTATATTAAAACTGAGAATCACTGACTACTACCACTACATCAAAATGCAGAGTGCACTGTACCTTATAGTTCAAATAAATCACTGCCATCATCTTCTTCTGCAAATGGCAATTTGCAAATTTTTGTATACTATTTTCTCCTGGCATTATAAAGATATATAAGCTAAAGAGAGACAGACAAAAAGAGGGAGAGAGACAGAGGGAGAAGAGACTACCTCTGATAAGCTCTTCAAGAATAGTGATTCTGTCTGCCTCTGCAATACTAGGACTGGTCATTTCTTCAAACATATGTTACACTTTAAGAGAAAAAGGCAAATCTTAAACATTTTTTCTCACAAAGTAAAAACTCTTACAAGCATGCTGCTCTTTATGATACCAATATTATCGAAGGCTTACAGTAATGGATAAGATCAGTGGTGAAGGTGCTATTATCCTCCTCTGAAAAAAAGTGACATAGCATGGCATGAGACTATTCTTCTAAAAGCCTAAACTGATACATTTTAGATAACATATGTCACTGTCTGAAGAAAAAAACATAGCTGAGTACATGTTGAAAACCACTCTTTTAAAAAACACTGTAAAGTTTATTTTAGATGCTGATATTTCTTTTAAATGTAAGCATTAGTGGTTGATGTTATTTAGAGTTTATTCAGATGTGCTCATTTTCAGTGCCATTAAGCTATGTTATTATGATCCAGAGTATGTCAGGTCATTAATCTCTCAAGAAAAGGCATCTTAACTTGTTCATAACCATATTCCCAGAAGGCCCAAGGCAGTGCTTGTATGATGGTTGCTCTCAATAAACATTTTTCTAAATAAAAGACTCACATGCTTTTGTGATATCTAACATCTTATGTCATGCATCACAATCTACACAACTAGATATATCAAACAAAATAGAAAATAAATCTGACCTGAGACAGCTTTGAACATCCATGCCCTCAGTCATTTGACATATATGCATTACATGCCTTCTCTTTGACTACATTATCTTAAGGGTTGGACATACAGAGGTAAAAAGCAAACACAGTCTCTGCCATCAAACAACTTGTATACTTGTGGCAAGAGAATAGTATACACATGTGTATGTGAAAAATAATGCTAAAAAAGGATATAAATGAGTATTATAAGAAAGTGAGTGGGGAAGGATTATGTCAGAGAAAAGTTAGGGAGGGTCTCCATGAAGAAGTGACATTTATCTGAGAACTAAGTAACATGGCAGCCACACAAGAGAGGTGTTGAGTGCTCCAGATAGGGAATACAATAAAGGCAGAGGCCCTAAAACTAGAATGAGCTTTTTGTCATGTTCAAGGCATGAAAAGATCAAAAAGCCTTACATATATGGGAAATGAGTCCAAGAAGCAGGCAGGAACAATATCATCTAAAACCATGAAAGCCATATAATGTTAGAAATTTATTTTACATTCATTGGGAAGGCATTAGAAGGCCATAATAAGTATCATTATCTGACTGACTTATTTGTTTGTCTAAGAATTATTCTGAACCAACAGATTACTCTCAACTACCACAGAAACACTAAGTGATGGTCAGATTTCCTTTTGAAGGCTCATTTACAAATATTTTCCCAAAAGTGTGGAAATGAAAGGAAATTTAGACTATCAATTACCCAAATTAAAAATGCCACTAATTCAAACAACTCCAACTCCAAGGAGTCCATTTCACTGAGGTTTTCCTGTGCAAAACAGGGATCAGTTTGTAAATGAAGCAAGAGACTCTCTGAGAATGCAGGAATTTCGCCTCCTCCTTCAGGTATGCTACTCAGCATGTTAGAGAGAAATCAGCACCAGGACAGGTGCCAGGGACATTTATGAGGATGGCAGGGCTCTCCAGATAACTTCAAAACAAGAGGCATAAACTGAAACTGTTCCTAGATGCTCCCTTAACCTAGATCTGATCCTCAACTTGTATCCAAACCAGTTATGTGGCTAGGAATGAGGTTTCGCCTTCCTGAGACTGAGTTTCTTCATTAATCACGATATAATTTCATTTTCACATTTGTTAAACAACCATCACCAAATGGTCTCACTGCAGAGACAGAAGAATAAAAACCATTCGCTGCTCAAAGTCTAGTTAGAGAGCAAATAAATTGTACAAGTGAAGCTACTAAAACATATACCAAGCAAAAAGGTCTAGAGTTAGCAGAAGAAAGGAGTGACAAGTCTTAGGAAGACACCAAAGAATACTTCATGGTAACTTGGTGAAACATAAGTTAATTTAGGAAAATTAAATTCATATGTGAATCATCATGTTTCATTCCGGCCAGAGGGGACAGCATATACCAAGGCAGAAAAGTGTGCAATCCCATGGCAGGTGGAGACAGTTATAAAATTGGTTTAACTACATTAAATACACATAGACACAAAGATAGGAACAAAAGATACTGAGGACTGTCTGAGAAGGGAAGAAAGGGGAAGGGTATGGTTTGAAAGGCTACCTATTGTGTACTATGCTCACTACCTTGGTAACAGGATCATCCATATACCAAGTCTCAGCAATGTGCAGATTAACCATGGAAGAAATCTGCACCTGTATCCCTTGAATTTAAAAGCGGAAAAACATAAAATAATGAACAAACAAAATTGGTTTCACTAGCTGGTCTCTAAGATCCTTTGCGTGCTAAAAATCTAAGAGTTTCCCCTTTTAATGATGTCAAACATAATCTGTAAAAATTAAAATTTTCTTTTAGTTACCATGCTTAATCTCATATGTTAATATTCTATCTTCATTGCTCAACAATAGCCACTTGACCTATTCCTGTTCATATAACATCCATGTACAATGAGCTGCATATGTACAGAAGTACCTGGCAATATGTAAAGGAAAAGAAGCGTGAACAGAGTATGGGGTAGAATGCTGAATACACAGTGACATTTAAAATAAGAGCTGACATTTCTTGAACATTTAACAGATATTAATTCAATTAATTATCACAAGACTCATCTCGATAAGATATAAACATTATTTCTATTTCACAGATGAGATAGCTGAAGTACAGACTAGACAAAAACTTGTCCATGGTAAACGACTTAGAAGCAGCAGAGCTGGAATTTGACTGCCAACATCTGGCCCAAAAGTCTATGCTTTTAGTAACTACACTACGTGCCTCTCAACAATAATGTCAAGATTGTAGGAGATAATTCATGCCACATGGCCATAAGTTCATCTTTGATTTAGATCAGCATCAGTAGAGACGTTGAAAAAACACTGACTATATATCTGCAGCAGGTTTTAGAAAAAACTAATACGCCCTAAGCAGAGAAAACAAATTCTCAAAATCAAATTCCCATTTTCTAATTCAGCAAGCTGAACTTTGGGACCTCAAGGTCAGAATGCTTGTTCCCTAGGTTGGTCCAAATCAGCATTAAGAATTCAGCTGAGTCCACACAACATGACCGAATTCGATTGGCTAAGGTTCTCATACAGTTAGGTTTTTGATCAGTTGTTTGGATTTCATGAAAGTTGTAAGGTCTTAAAGGTGAATAACTCCATTTGCTAATTTCCCATGTTCAGCATTTAACAGAACCACAAGCAGAGACCCATAAAAGAGACTTTGCAAGAGATTATGATAGTAGCAATAGCAACAATAATGTTAATGCAACTATATCATATATGTGCATCAATTCAAATCTTGAAATTTTAAAATAGGTGTTATTCTTATTTAATCCTAATAATATATGTATATTGTTATCCCTATTTTTTATATATACACAGAAGAAGGATTAGAGACTATGGTGACCTTTATAGTTTAAGGGCTAAGATTCAAACTAAACTTTCTTATTCTAAACCTAGTGTCCAATATTTTTAATATTTCTTCCTCTCTACAGTTGCCTCTCAAACTATCAAAAACTTCACAAGACAGCACAGTTTTCCTTAAAAAGAATTAAGAAGACTAAGGTTTTTCTTAGAAAGAGCAAAGCCATAGCATAAAGACCCAGGTTTTGTTTCTCTGTCACAATTTCGGTATAAAAATTCTAGCACCCCACATTGCATGATCCCTGGCCTGATCCCTGAATTGTAGAGGGAGAAAATTAGAAAACTGCTATGTTTAACTAATGAATGGTCATATGTGAACAGAGGGAGCTGAACAGAGTACCAAAGCAAGCTGCACCTCCTGCAAAGGTCTGAGTGGTTGGAGGGCGTGTCTGAAAGCTGCTTACCAATACAGGACTCCCCGGACAGTGAATAGGTCCCATCGTCATGGAAACCGCTTCTGCACTCACAGTGGTACCACCCTGGCAGGTTAACGCAGCGGGAATGGTTGTGGCACTCAATGATTCCCTCTGTACATTCATCAATATCTGCCTCAGAGAAAAACACAAGCCCACCAGGATATTAATTTCTTTTGACACTAACCTTTCAGGAAATGCCTAAAACATGCTCATGTCAACATATCAATTAAAACTGTTTAGTCACCTAAAACGAAAGTCACCGGTAGAACCAGATCCCACATTTTCCAGAATCCAAATAAATTGAAAGCTTCCATCTTGAATGTTTTCTCTCATATTGAACAATGCATGAGAGCTTATGGTCACAAAAAATTCCTAACTCAAGTTGAGGCTATTTGGCACAGTTTCGCTATTGGGTGTATATGACTCTTTTTTTGGATTAAATGTTTCTAAATTGGCAATTCCAGATTTTACTGTATGTCTTTTGAAGATATTTATGAACAAATAAGTTCAGGAAACTTGGATTAAATATTAGTAAATTGATTTTTTAAATGACAGCCCCAGAGACTTGTCATAATTCTATGTCCCGTAAGACTTTGAGATAAGATTGATAAGATGCAAAGTTTCCCAAATATATTTAGATGGTAACTACCTTTTCTTGGGATACCTTTAATATCTTGCAAAACCAGTGCTGTGGGGAACATAGTTTGGGAACTATTTTTCCAGTTCTTTAAAAACTAATGATTAAATTATGCTAGTCCATCAGAGATCCTCACTCTTCACTCATTCTTAAGAAAAGGAAGTCTCCTAGGCTTTTTTTGTTTATTTGTTTGTTTTTCTCTAGGCTCTGGCTTCATATAATTAGCAAATACCTAGGTCATGTATAGATTTTCTAGCACAAAGGCTTGTCTCTGCACTGAAGGAGGTTGATACCACTGCAGAAAAGAGAGTTGCAATTGTTAAATCAGATTCAGTTCATCCTTACAGAATTTCTCCAAGTAATTATTTCTCAGAATGTAGCCACTGCTGTCTGGGAATCTTCTTTGACTTCTCTTGGAAATATCTGAAATATCCGACTCATGTGAATATAAATTTAATTAAAATTGGAATCTAACCCATAATGAATAAAATGTACTTTGGGATTTCTTTTAACAGGGCCCTGCCGGAAGCATCAGTTCAAGGGCAATCAGCTACCTTTGGTTCTATTATCTTGACAAGTCCTGCATTGTGCACTGGGCTGTTAATTTAGTTTGAAATGGTATACTCTCATCTCAAGGCATTGTGGCCAAGTAAAGAGTTCCTCATACTGCAACTCCAGCTCAGACAACTACCACCTTCTTCCTCTGTAGTACGTATTGTTCAGCCCAGAAAGTCTTTTCACATATGTTATCCTTTAGGCTTCTAAATGCCCTCAGTCCCTAGGACCTAATATTTGTATAGGACCTTCAGATAGTGCAGTCAGACTGTGGGTGTATTTATTATAAATTCTCAGAAAATAACCATGTAGACTGTTATGCCTCAAATTCTACAGGTCCAGGTTCTCTGGGACATATGTTGGGTCACTAAACATTTTAAAATTTCAAGTAGAGAAATAACTGGAGGCTGTGGTTCCTGGAGGGAAAGGGCTTATCCTAAGTAACAGAATCAGCCCACTGCTTTTTGAATACCAGGCAACAAGAGACACACACATAAGCAGAAGGCTAATTACAGAAATGATTCTCCATGTTAGGCTGAAGGATAACTCTCTGTAACAAAGTAGCAACCAATTCAATCTCTGACATTTATTTCCAAAGCTCTCAGAAAAAGCAGTCATGATCATCAGAGACTCTGTTGCTGATAGGCTGCTGACAATATTTTAGGTAATAACCATGGTTAGTGTTTTGGGAAACCAGGAGATACACAAATAAAAGCATCTCAACCAGAGCAATCATATGCCCTGGTTTGCCTGGAAAAGTCCTAGTTTACTTCTGCTGCTCTTTTACTCTCAAAACCACCCAAGTTTGGAGGATAAATTATGATCAAATGGAGTATACGCCCTCAGCTCTAAATTCAACAGAACATTTTTAGGAAGTACGAGAGTAGTGAATGATGCGCAAATACTTTCTCAATTCATAGATATTTCTGTTCCCAAAATGAAATGATAAGTAGTTTCCGTGATTCACCAGGGCAGAAGTTATCTGTATAGCACAGGAATCTTTCACAAGCAGTGAAGACAATCAGACAATTACACATCTACAACTTCCCCAGAGACACTAGGGAATCCCTGGCTTGCATGGGAAATGTGAAAAGCAGTAGAGAAGCTCATTTTGCCTGAAAGCTGTACTTTTCATAGAAGATTCCAGAAACTCACTGGAAATAACCAGGTCACATCACATGCTGGTACCTAGGCTGCACATTTCTGTTCTCTGTGCAGGTCTATAACTAAAGCCAGAAAATTCATTTTTTATGCAAACATATTGTGCTTGAGAGGGGCTCACGTTTTCACTGTGTTTCTAAAACTGGCTTTCTTCTGTGTAGGTAGTCACAGTAGTATATAAAGCAACCACCACAGACCCAAATACAGAAAATACTTGGAGGCTTTTCAGCAACACTTTGGGGAATTTACAAATTACGAATGATGGTTTCTTCCCAAGCTGGGTTGTGGCTGCCTTTGTCCTCAGAGACAAGGATTTGTTTCTCCCAGTCAGTACTCCCATCAGGGAAACAAACAAGACAGATGCTCTGGGAATGGAGTCTCTCTGAGTTCACTATGGAATCAACTATCATTCAAGGAATTCTGATAAATCACAGTGGGCCTGGCTACACTCACAATGTGTCAAACATCCCAAAGGAAACGAACAAACAAAAAGTCACCTTTCCTCCTATAGAAAGTCCTAAGATCTTTAAATCTCAGTTTAATCCAGCACAGAGCTGAAAATGTGAACAAGGAAGCAAAAGAAGCTGGGGCATTGTTAGGTGAGACCCACAGTATTCATTTTTGTATCCTCAGAGCCAAATGTTGACAACACAATAACTAACATTATTGTCCCGGTCACACAGCTTACAAATGGTGAAATGTAGTTCAAAACTAGCTAGAACCAGTATTTGTCACAATTTTATCATATCTTATTGACAAATCAAGAAAGGATTATTTACACAAAGATAATACATTTATTCAATTCTGTAAATATCTGTTGAGCTAAAAATAGGTGAAAGGATTCTTTTTGTGTTGTGGTTAACACAAAAGTAAATGAAACATGACTCCAGAAATCCAGGAGCTCATAATCAAAGGGAGGAGCTGTGTGTGTGTGTGTGTGTGTGTGTGTGTGTGTGTGTGTGTATACATACTCATCCTTCAAACAACAACCAATCTCACCAGCTCCTTCCCCTGTAGACCTAGTGACTACACATATCTATTTTACTACTTATCTTGTCTAATCACAGTGACTTCCTTTTTGTGTCTATCACTCAAATGCAAATTTACCAAGAAAATGGACAACATTTTATGCTTTACCTTGCTAGTGATACTTAGAAATGGGAGTAGCAAGCAATTTGAAAGTGCCCAACACAAGTCTATGAGAATAAATGTATGAAAAACTAAATGACTAGTAGATTGAATGAAAGAAAAAATTAACAAAGGCTATAATGGAGATTCAAAATACCCCAAGATTTCCTGGTGCTTACAAATCACAAAACTACAAAGGCAATTCATAAAACTAAATAAAAAGTAAATTTAATATTTGTATGTTATTTTCCCCTAAAAGACATCATGCAGGGTCTATTTAATACTTTGCTCCTACCTCTCATCTTTAGATATTTTAAGTGGGCAAAATAGGTAACAAAAAGAAATAATTGCAATGGTGTTATAAGGAGTAATTTTAATTATGATTACAATGATAATAATTATTACAATTGCTATAATTGTTCCAATGAAAAGACCTACCTAGACCATGAATTTTTCATTTACAATGAGAAACAGATGAATACCCAAGGTTTGTTTATGTGTAATGTATCCTAAGCAATACATTTAATCCTATTTGGGGCATATGGTGAATTGTCTATAGAAAGCAAATTGCAAATAAATCCTTCGATTTTTGTAAAATCCATCTCTAGAGATGGGTGGATCTCTTCCTCCATCTAATCTCTTTTCTACTGAATTTGCAATTTGAAATTTATAAAACCAATAAAGGTTTTCTCAAAGCTTATTTTCAAAGAGGTGCTTTCGCATTTCATACTAACAGTTAAAACTTGCAGTAAAGTAGTGGCTCAAGTTGCGGTTGGACTACACCTTTGCTAACAGTTTTTAGGGTGATAGCGAGTCATGAGAAAATCTTTCGTTGTTTTCATTAATTCAACAAAAGTGTATTGAGCATTCCCCATGTGCCAGTACATTTGTCCCATGTACTAAGCACTGTATTATACCGTCTGAGAGAGAAATAGAAAGATAAGATCTCTGTCCTCCAGATATATAGAGTCTATAGGGCAAATAGAATATAAAAGAAAAATAAACTCTGCTTATAAGTATAGGCTTTAGAGATAAACATGACTTCAAATTCCTGCTCAACGATGGACTAATAATTATTTAGATTTCATAAGTCTTTGTTTTCTTATCTGTAGGTTGAGAATGATAAAATCAAACATCATGTGATTGTTAAAAAAAGACCCTTAAGCACAATCTGAATATTAATTTTAGACTAAATGTTACTTCTATAAAACTGCAGACAGAATAAGTGGATTCTGAAAATATACATATATTCACCTTGCAATCAGGAAACTGGTTAGGACTGAGACATTATTTTCGGATCTTTAAAAATATTCATTTGTATTTTGAGACAAGTGTAACCTTGTTATGCATTCACGAATAGAATCTATAATACATGTCTCATAAAGACTTGGATTCTCTTCCTCACCAAAATAATTCACATAAGTTTAAGGAAGTAGAATCAGCAACATAGATTACCACAAGTATATCAAACACAAACCTGCTTGTTTTCTATTATTTGTTGAATGCCAGAATTGTACTGAACATAACATGTAAAGCCCTGTGGTAGAAACAGGTTAGTGCTTCTATCTTTATTTTCTTGGGCTCTTAGGGATGTGCCTGGAGCATGCTTCCTTTGTAAGCATGTAAGGCCATGTGACTGAGCTCTAAC